TCTAAGATACCGCTGAGGAGAAAATCAGCTTTTTTTGATAAAAGCATTTTATCACACCCACCCCACCCCACCCCCAAGAACTTCAGGCCTAACAAAGGGTTCAAGGCACATAACAATATGATCAGAAAAACAAGAAAAGATAAAAACAGAAAGAAAAGGAAAGGACACAGCCTTAGAGGAATGAGACATTACCTTTGGAGCGCACGATGTAACACTGTTTCTGTAAATTTTACACAAAAATGGCAGAAATAAATTGTAATACATTTTCAGACAAAACTGTGTCTATGTTTTAGCAAATACAAGGTTAAAATTCATATTAATCAAGTTGTATGCAGAACAAGGATGCCTAAAAGAGGGCTCTAAATTTTCTTGAGAATACAAGGTATTTTGAAAACTAAAAAGTTCTCCTTAAAAAGCAAAAAGAAAACTACAGGCAAACCCTGCTTGTCACACTATTGCAAAACCAGTCAGGAAAGAGAATCCTCCCACTCCCCTCTAAGTCTCAACCCAGCAATGCCCAACTTGAGGTAGGTGAATATTCAATTTCTGGGGGTTTATTCCCACATTTGCAGCTTCCCAGGGGTTCAAAAGCTCCACTGAACCCCCTCCTAAGGAGGAATTTCACAGGCACAGCAGAGCTTAAGTGTTTGGGTTCCCAAATCAAAGGTGTAAAGTCTGCAAGGGGACAACTTCAGACATTTCAGACTTGGCTGACATCTCCCTTGCTTCATGAAGCTTTTCTAGAACTAAGAAAAATAAGTGTTTTTTTTTTCATTGATTGCTCCTGTCCAGAGTTCCACAGCAACAGACCCACTGCAGAGGGGGAAAAAAAAGCCAAAACACCTGCACCAGTTAATACTGAGCTTTAGGGTCTGCTCTAATTCTGAGCAGCAGCAATGGTTTAAAAATGCATTATCAGCTGAGTTTAGCCACATCCCCCTCCCCAAAAAATAAACTACAGCTTATTAATTATGCCTCTGCTTATTAGAGCACCAGAATGATCTTTTTGTTACTTATTTTGTCACTTATTACACAAAAAAAAGCATCCTGGGAATGTTTTTACGTCAACTTTTCCTCAAGCCAATGGGACCTGCTGGTGTGATAAGTGCACATGAACCACTGTTGCTCAAAGATAATGCAACATCAGCCCCTTTCATGTGACATTTTTGGGGTTTTACATGAATAAACTGTTCCAATAGTTAGCTCAAAAGGTATTTCATTCACAGTAAAAAAATAAAAAAGAAATTATTAACTGTTGATTAGAAAAATACCTGTTTTGGGACACCAAAAAGACATGAAGTGCTTTTAACGAGCTGGTAATATTCAGAAATAATTTGTAAAATCAAAACAAAAGAGTCCTCACAACTTATTTTATCCCTCATTTAGCAGATCAAAGTGGTTAGTTTGTTTGAATTTAGTAACTAGGCATGGCACCACGCATTTAAACATTTTTAAAGCAAAAAATAGCTATTTAGTTCTGAGCAAGCAAGCAGAGCTTGAGAGACACATTAAAACCAACAACACCCTCAACGTGGAAAAAAAAAAATAAAAACCTGGCAGTAATAGGAAATCAGGCTCAAGTTTTAAATAGCTTTTGAACACAGAGGCAAGAATTTGGGCTGATAAGGAACACAGTCCAGACTCCTCTCAAAGCTGCAATAGGGATGTATTCTTCAGCAAGCTATAGAGCTAAATACCTAGGCAATAAATTAATTATTACACACAACTTCCCAGGGAAAATAAAACAAAGAGGTTGGTTATTTTGTTTTGCTTCCTGTTGTTTCTTTACTGTTCATTCTGCACAGGCACTTCTCATTTTCTACTAAGTGTAGCTTGACAGGTTTTGGATGACCATGGAAGCAGAGTTAAGCCCAGGTGAGCGCTTGGAGGATCAAGAGTGTCATTAATTTTTTTTTTTTAAGAACTTTAGACACTCATTTTCACAAGAGCTGCACTTATTTTAGGGGTGACTTTCCTTCCTGGCAGGCTGGGAATTGCCAAATGTACAATGGAGCTGCTCCAGAGAGACAAGAGATCAGATCAGCTCGAGTGAGAAGCAGAGGATGTGGCTCCAGAGGAACATTCCCCACAGGAAAACAGCCTGGAATATCCAAGAGCAGACCAAGTATCCCCCCCTGGACTCTAAATCAGGGGCCTAAAGACATCAGTTGTATCTGTGCAATGCTCTGGATGTGCTCCCCCAATAATTACTATTATGTTATCAGCAGCAATTCAAAGCAGGTATTGGAGATCTAGAAAAAGAAAGATGATTCTAGAGGGGTTCCTGCCAACCTCTGCCCCATCCTAGGGATTCCATACCTGAATATCCACGTGGAAACAGGACAGGTAAAGATTAACACACCCAGATGGTGTTTAGAACACCTGCAAAATACCCGAGGGTTCTAAAGGAAGTTATTCCCAGAAAAGAATCAGAGAGTGCTGCTCTCTGAACATATAAACAGCTGATTTATAGCCTGGTGCCTTACAACTGTCTTCAACACAAGCCTGGAATAAACTGCTACAACAGATCCCTTTGGGAAAAGGGAACTGAAATTCCTGTATTTCACCTGAATGGTCTCTCTCACAACGTGTTCCTTCAGAGCAGGAAATGTTTCTCAGGCACACGTGAACAGACCTGGCCTGTTTCAAATACATCTGCATGAAACACGTGATCCTTCCTCAGCCAAACATCCTCCTTTCCACCCAACTCCTGCTCTTATTCCAGTCAGGAAAAAAAAGTGGGGAAAAATCAGTGCCCCAGCACTAAACACAGCACTTCTGATACTACACAGACACACTTCTGACTCCTCATTCTACCTCTGCACCTTGCCAGTTTGCACCAGTGCTTTAATTTAAGGTCATTCTTTCCACCCTGCCCTCCCTGGAGCTTCCCAACAACACTTCCACTGCCTTTTCCATGCCCAGCTCTCTATTGTTGCTTAGAAATTCTTCAGGTTCAGTCATGCCAGAGAAATTCCTGCCAGTCAAAGAAAGCTGAGGATATTTTAGGATGAGTCAGATGCCTGTTTACATTAAGATGAGTCTGGAGCTTCTATTTCGGGTAAAACTGACCACTTTAAATCAACTTTTAATGATTTTTAGGCATTGCAGAGTCCTGTTGTGACTGGCTTGTCAGTGCAACCTGCCAAAGAGATTTGCTGCCTGATTAATTCCTGTAAGGACTCGTTATTCCAAATGACACTTTTCACTGGTAAGCAGGGAAAGCATTCCTGATGAATAAGGAAAACTGTTTTAGTCAGGATTCCTGCCATTATTTTGGCCCTACTTGGACAGATATATAAAAGAAAATCACTTCTTTGCACTCCTTCTCTGTTACATTAGATGTGCACAATAAACAAGAGAGTTCTCAGCCCTGATATCTAGGAAAATAAATGCAAAAATCTAAAGAAGTTCAGAAAGGGATGAGCTACTTCCCTCCCTACAGATCTAATCAATAAAATTAAACATCTTCAAACATTTTTAAAAAAAAAAATCTAAGGACTGCCTTTCACACACTTTTCAGGTTCTACATTTGAAGAACAAATTTTCCTAATGGTAAACTACAGAGAAACTGAGCATTACTCAGAGTATAAAAAGCACATTTTAATTTCAGCTTAAAGCAAATCACTAAAGGAAGCCAATATTCTACTAAAGCAAAGCTGTATGGATGCACAGCACAATCCCTGAGGGCATCAGACAAATGCTACCAAGCAAGAGTAACTGCTTTAATAAACTGCATTTTAAAGTTCAGGCAGAAACTACCCAGAGAAAACCTGCAGCAGTTGTTTCCCACTTGGAATCCTGACTCGCTTCCCTGACTCCAGGGCACTGGAGTGTCATTTAAGACATCCCAGGATATCCAGGAAATCTGCTTGGGGCAGGAAGGCAATCAGAACATCCACATCCATCCCTCCCAGCAGTTGAAAGCTGGCAGGACACCCCAGGAGCCTAAAACCAGCTCTAGATTCCTACAGGCAGCTGAGGGGAATCCACCTTCCACAGAGGTAACTGTGTTTAAATCTCTTTCTCTGAATTCCCAAACTAACACTCTCTCTTCATGCTGATTTCATGAAAAATCAGATTTTTATTTTTTTTTAAGAAGTCTGCATCTTTCAAAATACTTCTCTATTTGGGGAAAGTGCTCTTAAATTCTCTTCATTTATTTTCCTGTCCAAGTTATAATTTAGCATCCAACACAACCTGTGTGGGGAGAGACAAAGGTGTTTAAAACTAATCAAAACAGCTGAGTCTACTAAAGCCTAAGGGGGAAAAGATGACTTTGGAATTAAATGCAGGAGAGAAAAGAAACTTTAGAGCCCTCAAATGACAGCTGCTTGACTCATGTGACATCATTAGATTTTCATGTGTTGTTCAGATAAGCTCAAAAATGGAAAATCATGGCAAGAGAACCCAAAGGAAGTCACCCCGTAGTAAATAGTGAAGCAATGCCTTCAGAGAGCTTATTTATGTAATATATATCTTTATATTCAGGGTGTTGTTTATACAGACTGTTTTCCATATTAATGAGCACACAGATGTATTCAGATTTATATGTAAGGAAGCACAGCATCTACAATTTCCTTTGGAGGTAACAGAAACCAAGTTTTGAAACAACTTTATCACTATGGAATGTCTGAACTGTGAAAGACTCTCTCTTAAGGTTCCTTGTGCATTTTCCATTTTTAGGACATTTTTTTTTTAGGAAGAGGCCTAAAAATGTCTCTTATCTGAACTCCATCAGATCATACTGAAGATCTTTCTCAGGCAAAGAAAAATAAAAAGAAAGATTCTTGAGGACAATTTACTCCTTTCCTGCAGACAGGGAAGCGCCATTCATTCCTCTCCCCCAAGAAAGATGGCAAAGAGGAAAAAAAAAAAGAGTTTTTCTAGTGAAGTAACTACTCTAAACTTTGCTTTTGAAAACCCCAGTGTTGTTTCACAAAGTACTTCTCAGCAGGAGACTGAAGTTATAAAGTTGCTCTTTCCAAATACAAAGTGTTAAACATTAAGGGGAGGCAATTTCTAAGAGGGAGGAATAATCACAGGAAAATTAGCAAGCTTAAAAATACTGATAATAAACCTAAAATACAGCTGCTTTAACCAGAAAACCCTCAATTATCAGACCTGAGTATTTACTGAAGGCAGTCATGTGTTTTCTACAATTTGAGCAGAATGTGGCTACTAGAATGGAAAGGTTTTTTTAGGTAGTGAAGGAAAAATCTGATTATCAGCACATAATTTTACATAGTGTTGGTACTAGAGTATTGGTATAAGCACAAGTAAGCACAATTATGCAGGAATATATTAAAAAAGCATGTCAGAAACAAACCACAAAAATTAATAATAAGAATAATGATAAGCAAACAAAAAACCCCAATAAATAAAAGCCTAACTCATTCTCCTCCTGAAAAAAAACCAAAACAAACAAAAAAACAAACAAGCAAACAAATAAAACTAAAACAATCCCCCCAAAGTAAATCATAAATCATCATATTTTAAGGAGCACATGCAAACCCGTATGTAAATCACCTTTAGATCTCACTCCCCTTTGCATACAATGCCCCACATCCTAATTTGCAGACAATCTGCTAAAATTTGGTGGGCACAGAAAAGCAAAGGATTTATTTTCCGGGTGCCGAGAACTTAACGAAATCAGCCCTCTTTTGAGGGTTAAAAGGAAAAAAAAAAAAGAAAAAAGCAATGAGCGAGGAACATCCAGCTTCTAACCCAAATGAAGGCCCCTAGTAACTCCTAGTGCATTCTCCCCCTCCATCCCAGTTAAAAAAATCAGGTGGATGAGCACGGATAGAGAGAATTTTAGCAATACCATCTTTCTCATGAACGGCGCTTCTCTGCGCAAGAAAAGCTCGACTGTGGGATCACATCTACTCACATGAAAAATTGGGAACCATTGGTATGTTTCCCTCGGTTTGCCATTGACAAAAGGAACGCTCTGTCATGTTTGAGAATAAAGTTTTCATCTGTTTGAAGAAAAAATATGTTTGTCAGACTTTTTTTTTTTCCCCCCCCCCGGCGAGGCAGGCGGGTTTTAGTTTTTCTTAGCAACTTATGGATGCTACGAGGAGAAATTCTGCTGCTGCTGGAGAAACGTGAACAGGGTTTGGGGGGAAGAAACAAGTTTAAATGAGTCTCTTAAAAGTTGAAGTTGAGACAAAGCAGAAAAGTTTCAGAGATAGTGCAAACATTTCTAATGAAAATAATTAAAGTCGTTATTAGTGCCTTCGGTTAACATTAGACTCTCACAGATTTGGATTTAAATCCAGTCTTATTTGGATAAGAACAAAGTTGGCAGCATTACTAACATTCTAAAACAAGACTTAACATACATGATATTGTTATTTATATTCCAGGTGGAAAGACCAGGAGAAAAAGCCATTTATTTATTTCCCTGGCATGCCAGCTATCCTTTCAAAACTGGAAGGCTCAAAACACACAAGGGAAAAAAAACCCACCTAAATATCTGAACCTAAGTATAAAACCAATTAAGACTAAAATAAACACGCATTTTATATTCCAGTGAATTAAAGAGGAGCTCTGGTTGCACAGCATAATAATACAGAACCTTCTGAAGGTCATTTTCAGAAGTAAAAATAGTAATTTGAGTGTACAAAGCTGCAGCTTTTTAGATTATATATCAAAACTCAATCCTGCATGTTCAGCACTCACCATGTGGAGAAACAAACCTTGAGTAACTTCTTAATTTATGGATCTATTAAAGACTTCCCTTGACTAAAGATTTTGATACTCCAACATCAAACTAGGTCTCTTTTTTAAGAGAAACTTCATGCACAACCAGGCAGAGCTACTTGCAACACATACAGAACAAATACATCCAGTGTCTTAATATTTGAACACCACAGTAGCCACCTGTTTTTTCAGAAACAATTGTCTGTCTTTTAAACAAATACTTCATAAACTCACCATTTTCCTTCCAACAGAGTTTTAAAAGAGGTAAATTTAATTTATTCACAAATTCTTTGCAAGGAAAATAACTCGTGTAGCTTGTAAATAACACTTTAGAAATGAACACTGAGCATACAAACCTTGAGTAGGGGAAGGGGAGGAAAAGGGACATTAAAAAAAAAAAAAAAAAAGAAGAAATAACTGTTTAGAGCTGGAAATTCTCTCTCAGAATAAGTCATTAACCCTCAGAAAGGTTAGACACAGAACTCTTCATTTCTCCAAGCAACACAGATATCCATCTACAAAGGGATGTATCAGTTGTCTATATATTTACTAGGGAGGGTACAAGGGAACAGAGTTTGAATTTGTGTTACTGAGCTTTTGTCTCTTACCTTTTCATTTTGCAAAAGACCACATTCTCTATAAACAAAAGAATATGTTGACAGTTTTAGGCAGGAAGATAGGAGTTTATTCATGAATAAAGTTGCCTAACCTCCATGCTGAAAGTCACGTTTAACCAATAATGTTAGCCTTAATTAATTGTCAGTTAAAGTTAAATATTAACAAAAAAAAAAAATTATCTGAAAGTCATGCATATAAAAAAGAATTCTCATGCAACATTAGTGTCATGCAAAAGGTGATCTATGAGTAGACCTGTTTTCATTAAGTAGTTTGGGAATCAAGACTTGTTTATCTCAGAACTGAATAAAGAATCTGCAAAGACATATTTCCTCTTACCTTTGAAATAGCCACCATAAATAGATTCACCTCCTTTTCCATTACCTACACATCAGAAAGCATCAGTTAAAACCTTTATTTCATTTCTACAAAAGCTGTACATAACATTCCACCAGTGTTTTACAAGGCACTGCTACTTTACTCAACACAGGAATATTCCTTCTCCACAATCATTTGATCGGGCACAAGGTTTCAGGACGCAGCAAAAAAAAAGATTTTTGGTAAGGAGAGGGATTTCTGGGAAGGACAACAGGATAAAACATCCTGTTGTGCACAGACTGCAGGGAAGGAAACAAAGAAACTCCTGCAAAATCTTCCTTCAGATACTTTAACAATTAAGTAGTGAGCAAACTCTTAAGTGTTTAAAACTTATTCCAACAGTTTTGTTCCTGTATCAGTGTTGCCTCTGCTGCAGACACAGGAGTGTAAAAGCACTTCCAGTTTGGATTTGAATGGTTTTAATAAGATAGAAAATGATAAAACCCTCCAGCAAGGATTTAACACATCAGTTGATGTGTCAAATAGCACAGTAACCAATGGCACAATAAACCAATCTCACATCAGTTGAAATATCTTAGAACTTCAAAAATTAACAAATGGGTGATTTGGGCTACACTTCACAGCAAAGGAAATATTTTTACGGCATTGCAATACTTTCCATGGCATTTTCTGAGGTTCTACACATTATAACCACATCAATTACAACGTTTCTGTTCCCTTTAAAAAACTCCCCAGTTTTCCAAGTGCTGTTTTACCTTCGCTGAAGTCCCCCCCCTGAATCATGAAGTTTTTAACCACACGATGGAATGTGGTGCCTTTGTAGCAAAGCTTCTTTCCCGTTGTTTTGCCAATTCCTTTTTCACCTGCAGAGGAGGTTAAACAGAAAAGAATCTACAGATTGTCACTGGACAAATTATTCCATGGCTTTTACCTTCCCAGTGCCCACGGATATGGGAACCACCAAATAGCAAAGCTACAAAAGATAACACAGCCCTACCTGTTGCCTTTTCACCATCCATAAATATCAGAAAGGGACTCTCAGGTGAAAATTAAGTTGTTCCTTAAAAAAATGTCCTTCCTTTCCAAGGAAGAGCGTGTTAATCCACCCAGGATAATTTATAAGGAAACAAGAGTTCAGGATAACGATGGGTTAACTGTTTTCTGTGGTTTGTGGTTGTAGCTGCACTCACAGAGTCCTCTGTGAGTCCTCTGTAGCTGCAGCTCACAGAGTCCTCTTCAGAGCACTTCCACATCTGGATGTGCCAGATGATTCCCAGGAGAGAAATGTGAGCTCAGAACAGGCTTCAGCTCAGTTTCAATGTGATCCACACTTGGAAAAGTGGGATTGAGCTGCTCCAAGCATGTGTCACATCTTCACCAGTCCATGCACAGTGTCAGGCCACCCCTCAATGCCAGCTGGAGGTCAGGGGTGCTGGTGGTTTGTGAGGCAGGTGATCCCAGAACCTCAAGTTGCATTAACATTTCCTCCCAAATCCAGAAGGAAAACCACACTGGGCATGTGGATGGGGAGGTGTAGTAGGTTCATGAGGGATTTATACTGCTCCACTCAGGGAATGTCAAGACACACTTTAGCTCCTTGGAAGAGGGGAGCTGGCAGAACACGGCAATTAAGAATACTATTTTTATTATACCATGTGCAACAGCTGAAATCCCATATAAACCACATGCACAGGAGTTATTTTGTAAGGAGACAGGATAAATAAACCAATATTCACTGTCATACCACCACTGGTTATGGAAGAGGCATTTGACAGCCAGTCAGAGGACATGCCCTCAGAAATGCAGGTACACTCCTTACCCAGAGACAACCCCACCCTTTACAAGCTATTATTCCTCCACCCCAAATTAACTGACAGCTCAAACATCCCAAGTTTGCCCTTCCAAACAGCCCATCCCTGCCAGGATGAGGGCAAAGAGCAGTTTGTGGCACAAAACTCACTCATGGCACTGCTGTTTATGGGATTTAGAGAAGCCTTCCCCCAAAGAACACAAGTTCTTTTCCACACCCACCATCCAGGCCTCCTCCTACCCCAGTTTGATTTTCCACAGGAGTTAAGCAAGCAAAGCTATTTATTACAGGCACGGACACAGGCCCTTTCACCCCAAAACATGCCCCTCTTTGCTACAGCATTGGGAAGCCCACCTCAATCAATCCCAAGGAATATGTGCCCCCAGTTTTGGCCACGTTCCAGCACGTCCCTCAGGCTGTGGATAATCCCCTTGGAGAATGGGATCCTGCGTGGCACTTGACCGTGTAATTGAGCTGGGACACTGAGATGTGAGCTTTTAGACCACGGTTAGAAGTTTGAATCTTCTCATTTTTTACCCTCCTTGACAGCATTGCCACGACTTTCCCAGGCAGGGAAAACACAGACCAGTTTTGTTCCACTGGCTGGAGCTGCAGCACCTCCCCGAGCTCAGGCACTTTTCCACAACAGCCAGTACAAAGCTCACGGGTTGGGCTTTTCTAAGTTTTTTTGCCCTAAATGTGTTTGATTTTTGTTTGAAAGAGACAAAATCTCTGAGCTCCATCTACTTGTAACCCCTCCTGCCTAAGCAGCTCTTTCCACGTGCTGCAAATCACTTGGAAGTGGGATGTGGAGGAGGAGTCCCACAGGGATTGCAAGGGATAACCCCTGGGCAGGTGAGCTTTGCCAGCATGACACACATTGAATTAGGTGCTGAGTGATCTCCATTATACAGCTATTTAGCTCCTCAGATAAGCCCCTGGCTGTGCTTTATACCTGTATAAACAAATAATAATTGCAAGTCACCATAAAAATTTGAAATATATTCAAGTTATTTACCTGAGCACAAGCAAAGGAAGTTTTTGCAAGTCTTCGGACAAATGTCTGAGAAGAGCTGAAACATAATTCGACCAACTAGAAAACAGTAATAAAAAAATAAAATTAAGGGTTTTATAACTCTTTGGAATAATAGAGGAAAGTCTCCATATAATTAAAATCAGCATTTGTGAAAGTATCATTTTCTGAGAAAAAGCTGTTTCATTAAGCAGAATAAGCAAGCGTCTTAAATATGCAAATATTAAAATAAGCTGCAAGGAAGAACAATAACAACTGTAAAAAATTAAGTAATATCATTACAGTTAATTTATTAACAATTCTAATGACCCCATTTTGATTTGAGCCTGGAAAGCCAAACTGATTTACTAAAATAGTTTATCATGTCAGATCTGTTTTGAGAAAGATCTGCCATAAACACAAGCCCTCAGAGAGCTGGAGGAATTCCCTCCCCAATTACCATGTTTATACAAATGCATTAATAATCACATTTCCACAGTTTTCCCTGGGATCATGACCTAAAAAGTCCAATTTAGTTTCACACCATGTTAAGGATTACAGATGCATTGGCACTTTTGGCCTAAAATCCTTTAGTTTAAAAACAAAAAACAAAACAAAACAATAAAACAACAACCAGATAAACCAAATAGGAAAGATGAAAGGCAGGCAGGATTAATTGCCAGATACTATGAACCAAATATTACTTTCTCTTTTTATGTTATCTACCTTCTAAAACTATTAAAATACGGCTGAAAAATGATTTAATATAAAGAAAAGTATTTTAAAACTGATTCATATTTTCTATTCCATTTTCCAAAATACTGAGATGCAGAGTAAGAAAAAAAAAAAACCCCAAACCATTCCCAAATATATGAAATCTTTAGAAAATACATAATTAGCACAGAAAAAGTTGTATCTACAGGTTGTGAAACAAAACCATAGAAGCCACACTGTTGGCCAGCATTACAAGAAGACCAGTAACAATCTATCAATGAGCACTACACTCTAGTGGTGCACACTGGTAAGACTTCAAGGATCATTTTAAAAAGTAACTACTCCAGGAATAACTTCTCTTTTCTTCCCTTTAAAGAAAAAAAAAACAAACAAACCTAAAGTTGAAATGTATTTCATTTAATGCCAAAAAAAAAAAAAAATTAAGAGGCTCCCAAGTTTAAGGCTTTAAGTTTAAGGCTTTGTCCAAATATATACAATTATAACAAGGTGAATTGTTGGCTCAAAAAGGAAGGAATGAAATAATACCACCTGAATTTTGTACTCTTAGGTAAAAATTCCAGATGCCTTCAGCTGTTGAAATGTCTGTGTCTCATTAAGTGCAGTAAGAATGTTCTCTAAGCATTCATCATTACAGCAGGAAAATCTAAAGGAAATGGGCAGGGAGAGTGTCCAAAGAATGAAGAAATAGGGAATATTCATGGATCTCACATCAAACAGCAGCTCTGTAGCTACCATTATGAAAAGGGAGTTATTTGGAGGTAAAGAAACCATTATAAGCTGTGAGGATTGAAGATCCATACAAAGAAGACAATGGAGGAGACACTTCAGCAGAAAAGTTACCCATTTCCATTAGAGCCCCGGAATCCAGGAGAACAGAAGTCCCATTCCCATTCTTCTGCTGGAAAAGTGTTGAACTGAAGCAAGTGTTTTAGAAAGCCATGGACAGATTTCATAGAATCATAGAATAGAATCTCAGACTGGTTTGGGTTGGAAGAGCACTTAAAGATTATCTTGTTCCACCCCCTGGCAAGGGCAGGGAAACCTTTCACTCTTCCAGGCTGCTCCAAGCTCCATCCAACCTGGCCTTGGACACTTCCAGGGATGGGGCAGCCACAGCTTCTCTGGGCAACCTGTGCCAGGGCATCAACACCCTCATAGCCAAGAACTTCTTTCCAATATCCCATCTAAACCTGCCCTCCTTCAGCTTAAAGCCATTCCCCTTTGTCCTGTCCCTCCATCCCTTGTCCCAGTCACTCTCCAGCTCTCTTGGAACCCCTTTGGGCACTGCAAGGGGCTCTCAAGTCTCCCTGGAGCCTTCTCTTCTCCAGGTGAACACTCCCAGCTCTCCCAGCCTGCCCCAGAGGAGAACATCCCTCCTGCATTCACTGTGTGAAATAACACATGATGTTTTCCAGGGAAGAAGTTGCCACTATCCCCATTCTCCTCAGAGAAGAGAAATACAGCCCAGCTGCTGATTCCAAGGTTCCAGCTGCTGATTCCAAGGTTCCAGCTGTCAAATAACTGGGAGGTATCAGTGCCTGCAGGCTCCAGAAGGGACTTTTAGCCTTAGGCATATTTTGTAGAAGGATTCTCATTGCAAGTCCTACTTATAATTCCATCATATTTAGCACTTTAAGCAGCAGACACCACTTCTTTTTTTCTGGTGGAAGAACCTTACCTTAAGTTCTTGAAGATGACAGCAGAAGATGGAAAAAGGCACATTCACAACTAAGGCATCAAGACTTGAACATGTCTTTCCCTAAAGCTTTGTCAGTAACAAGGTGCTCGTAGAATCATGGAATGATTTGGGCTGGAAGGGACCTTAAAGATCATCCAGTTCCATGGGATTCCATCAGACCAAGCTGCTCAGAGCCCCATCCAGCCCGGCCTTCTCACACCTTTCCACTCCTACAAACTGTAACACACATTTCCAACACCCAGAGGTTACAGATCCAGACTAAAAGAGGCCTTTCTCCTCCATAAAACCCGAAGTACTGCTTACCCAGTTCTATCCAACAGCACAAAACGCTGCTGCCTCCTCATCCAACAGAAACCCCCCACTGTGCATCCATCTGCTGGGTTACTGTCTGTGTTTTACTCCAGCTCCAGGAGTACCATTATCACTGGAAGGTTATATGTTCCCCTGACAAGCAGGCAATTAAATGTGTCAGGAAAGATCAAACACATTTTCACACCTTGGTCAAAGATGCAGGAAATAACAGCCGTTAATAAAAAGATTAATGGAAATATGCACGATTAGAACCTATGAAAAAAAAAATCTCATTTTAAACTCGGGGTGAGGTACATGCAGATATAACAGAGATTAAAAAAGAAAAAAAAGCATTTGAGATGCCACTTATTTCCTCAGATTTAGACACTTCTTCTCCAAAATGATCCCTCACTACTGAGAGAAAATTTCCAATGCTTTCTTCAGCTTCATTTCCCTGATGGGAAGGTTTAAGTTATCAGATCAGGGAAGGAGCTCTGTGACTAACCATAATATTTGAACAGGAAATGAAAACAAACAAACAAAAAACCTGCTAAAAAGAGCCAGTCAAGCAGGCAAAGGCTGCTCTCAAACCTCCCCAGAACCCTCGGTTGGCCTGAGCCACGAAATGAGCCTGCACAGAGATCTCACTTCCAGGCTAAAGCAAAACATGCCAGGATTACATGTACCTATTAGTTGTAAAACAACACTTCAATGAAGTATTATTTTTTTGGCAGGCTTTTATTTTTTAAAGCTTTTTAATAGAAATTAGAGTGATGAAAGACGTACATTATTAATAACTATAAATGCAGCACTTGCTGTTTGTGAAGTCTGAGATTTTTGAAGCTGGATTTCATAAGGTGCTATCTGAGGCTAATGAGCTGCACCAATTAGAGAAACTTTGTTTTATTTTGTTTTTGAACTCCCAAACAAATTTTTCTGCTGAGGAAGAACTAGTATTGATTCAAATTAAGTGGTAAAAATTCAGGGTAGGAATATCCATGCTATATTAAAATAAGAGCAAAGTTTACTAAAATAATCATTGATTTCAAATGTTAATCCTCTGATTAAGCTGCTTAACTTTTCCAGAAGAACTTTGGGAGCCAAACACAAATTGTTTTTTAAGTTATTTTCCATGTCATGTGAACTGTTTTGCTTTATTATATTTAGACCACATGGGTATCAATTTCTGATACACACTCCCAAAATAAACCTGGTTATTCAAAATTATACCTAGTGGGTTTGATCTTTTTCTCGGAGTAAAACCAAGGAAAAGGCACTTTTCCCAGGATATGAGCAGGGATATCCTGCTGAAGGAGAAAGGAGGGATTACAACCATGAAGACAGTGATGCACAGACTGAGGCCAGGAAGGCTGCCAAGGGCCCAAAGGCTCAGACAGATTTGCATTCAAGTTTAAGTAACAGCTCACTAAAAGGACTGTATTTGAATTTTATTAGTTTATTTATCCCTAAAATTTGTGAACACTAAAGGCACATAAATCTAAAGGCATTGGTTTAAAGTAGAAGTGTGGCTACAGTGTAAGAAAATAAAAGCTTACTGGGGAAAAGAATAGATTTTATTTAAAACATGAGTTGAAGGAATGGATGTCCCAGTTCCCCCGAGCAGAGGATCTGCAGTCCTGACACACTGACACTTTGCTAACACTTCCTTGCCCCTTTGCAAGGAAAACCTCCACAAACTTCTTTGCCCAGCTCCCTACTAATCCCAGTCTTCCACAAACACTGCCTGGAGCTCCCTCCATTCCACTCTTCCCTGGTCTCCACAAACCCAAACATATTCCAGTACTGCACACAAAAAAATTCACAGAGATGTGGAAGTGAGAGGCTGCACTTCTCCTTCTCCTGGCACAAGAGGATGCTCACTTTGCCTTCCATTTACTCATCCAACTTGTTCCAGGCCTCAAGGTGAGTTTTCAGGTATTTTATCCTGCACTGACAACAACAATCCTACAGGATGACTGTAGCACAATTTTTATTAAACTAGTTTCCTGCAATCTTATATCTTGTCTCCCTTGACAAGGGCTCCCCACACAGGATCCCCCTTGGCTCCTTCTGTACCAGACACAACTGAATTGCAAATCAGCTCAGGGACAGTCCAAGTGCTGATCTATTTTTTGCCAAAATACAACTTTTTCCCTTCAAAGGACTCAAAAGTTAACGTGAAGGCAGTTGAGAACAGTTTCTGTCTTTGGGAAAGGCAATAAAACCCCCTAAGGCATCCCTGGGTTACTACTGGAGGCACAGGACTACAAGGAATTTTACAGTAGGGTTTGTCTCACATAAATTTATAGCAGCTGAAATCCCAAAATACACCAAACTTCAGGCAAAAGGGACGAGAAAGAGAAAAGTAAGGAAAGAACAGACTGACTGATAAGGGAAGGGACATAGCAGGAAAGGAGGAAACTGAAGTGGAAGAGTGAGCAAAGGGTCATACAACAACAAAAGACAGGAGAAAAAAAGAAATGAAAAAAATTCTTCTGCGAATAAAAACGAAACAAAGCAATAATTAGTAAATATAACATACTTTATGAGGGACAAAGTCAGTCAGGAGTGGGGTGAGGAGGGGAGATGTGGGGAAAAGTTCTTGGATGGCCACATGAAATGCTAGAGCAGCATCTGTGACATCCTAGTGGGACATCTGTTCCAATTATCACGGTACCTGCAAGACTGGAGCTTCACACAGATTTTGCCTCACAGAGTAAAGACAGAATTATTTAAATAGGCATCTGCTGCCATCCCCAAATTCTTGGAATGCTGTAAGCACTTTAATCCTATGTGCACGCTGCAAGCAGCCAAATCCATTGGTGAGGGGCCCAAAAGAAGGGAGAGGTGCTGCCTGTGCCAGGATCAAAATAAATGTTTACTCCTGATTTATTCCCCGTTTGCTGTTTAAAAATTACAAGCCACAACGTGCATTCAGAAAAAAAAAAAAAATGCTTAACAGGCAACTTCCTAAAAGCAGCCTAAATTTAGACTCAAAAAACACTAAGCCCACAAAGTTTGCCCCACTGTAAGAGGCACACACAAGCTGGCACCAAGTTTTATTCCAAGATTCTGTAGCTAAAATTAAAATATGGACACAAAAGCTGTAAAAAAAAAAACAACCAAAGCTTCTGAAAGCACAAGCAAAGTGACATTATTCATGGCTGCATTTTCTAACGGATCTAATTAGAGTAAAATTAACCTTACTTTTAATTGCTACAGGTATTCTGACAAACACTGGGAAAGCAAAGCCTGGGAGGGGGGAAACGTTTTTGGACTCCAAGCAACCTCCAGTGTTAAAAAGGACACAGGTTTGTGTTCTGCAGGCAAAGAGGTGCCTCCAGTGCTGCAAGGGGCACATTCTCTTGTCTCTGCATTTTGTGGAGATGTTAGTTCAGCTTTTCAGTGCAGACAGGGTGGGGGTAATGCCCTGTTTCTTTGCTAACAACAAACAGCAGGGCTGTTCTCCTCCCCAAATCTGTCTCCCAACATCTAACAAAGATGAAGGAAGAGATTGGCTCGTTTATTGAAGTCAAAGCAGCAAAATGTTCATCTGGAAATCTGCTGGCAGTTTAGAAGTTAAATTTAATACCTCAGTAGTGTCAGCAGGAGAGCACAGCTCTCAGAGTTAGTGCTTGGTGTCATCTGGAAGCACTGATTTACCACTCGATTCAGCTTTTGAAGGTCATCTCACAGCTAAGGGAGCAACGTTTAAGCTTTTTAAATATATCCTTAAATCCCGAGGCACAGTTGCACAGTGAATTAATAAACAGGCACCAGAACAAAGCAGAATGACAAGATCGTGCACAAGTCCCACCACCAACATCTTACAAATTGGCACATTTTCCTGCAAAAACACCAGTCATTAGTCAGGTGCAATAAACCCAGCAGGGCCCCGAGTTTGAGACGCAGCTGGGAGATTCCTGTTACTTTGAAGAGAAAATAAATGCAGACAGCCACAAAAAGTGAGCCAGAGCCCTGGGTCTGCTCCAAGTAACCCAAGCTCTGCACCACCAGGAACACGGACGCTGCAATTCCTCCCTGACACCGCTATCAGTCATCAATCCCAAACAGATCTGGGGGGAAAGCAAGGTAATCCACTTTCACTCGCGATGCACAGCCGGGGGCTGAGGAGGGGACGAGGCAACAAAAGCGATTATGAAATGGGAGCAGCAACCTGAGCATAAAGAGCAGAGGAAACAGTGCAGGGAGAGATCCCTCACATGGAGATTCAGAACAAAAAAAAACCAAAAACCCAAAAAGATTAAAAACAAATGAGATGAAGAATGAATTGTCCTGGCTATAAATCAAGGCCATTAAACTACCATCCCTAACTGGAAACCTACACAATCTCAACATTTTTAGTCGTCTCATCCCATAGTAAATCCGAATTTAAAGCAACAGAACATGTCAAAACTCCACTTACATCAACACTTTTCAATAAAACTATTCAGAAAACACACTGTTAATCAAAATAACTCAGACAGGATCTACAATAGCAACAGATTTATAGATATGCTCTATCAGGTCTCTGAAGTCAGAACAGAATCAATCTCTCTTTTGAAATTGTGGCGAAAACAAAAAGCCAAATGGTTTTCAGTTACATCTGAATGCAGCCGAAATTTGGAGTCTCAGAGATACAGCCTCTTAATTCAAAGGCTTTCAGAGAAACATTAAAGCAGAAAATGAAAGTGAAAGCATAAATGAAGCCACCCCGTACATTCATTTTCTCTGAGAGGCAAGTGGTAGCAACAGAAAGCACCGAGTTGTGTGTGAGACAACTGACACGCACCGATAAATACACATTCATAGAAGGATGGGTAAGAAAATCTGTACAACCATTTTCACAGAGAGGGGAAATCACCAGAGGGAACCAAGCAGCTATTCCAGGATTAAAACTCACAGTCTACCACTCATGGGAATTACACTTCCCATAGGGAAAATACGAGTTAAGAGATGGATTTATTTTAATTATTTTTTTTTTTTCAACAGCCCACTTGGTGAGATAACCTACGACTGAATGGTCAGTTCTTCTTTTACATTCAAAAGACTCATTTCGAGGGGGAGGAGGAAAGATTTAGTCCTGATGACCTCCTGAGGTCCCTTCCCAATTTTAATTACAGTACGATTAAAAATACTTATAGGAGTAAATCTCCAGCCTCCTCACAGCTTGCCCCAATTTACCACAGTTTATAGAGCTGGTACAACAAAGGTATAATAGAAAAGGTGTAACACATCACCAGACAGCTTTTTACCTTCAGAAACAGCGTTTACGAGCCTCTCCAAACCTTTAAATTCAGGTGTGCAAATAAAAACCGAACCCGGGAGAGAACCAGGAGCGTCCAGCACCGCAGAAAACACCAGAAGTTATTAAAAAGTAACTCAGAAATAACACGTCCGTAGCCAAACTCGCCGCTAGCGGCTTGGGCCCATCATCAAGGGGCGAAAACGCGGCGAAAAAGCCCCCAGAGCGCAGCCTCACCTGGCTCCCTGTTGATCTCGATCTCGAAGAAGCACTGGGGCCGGTCCTGCACCCCCATGGCCGCCCCTCGGCCTCGCCACCTGGACACAAAGCACAGAAGGAGCCCCCGCGCTCCCTCCTCCCGTCCCTCCCTCCTCACCCGGGGCTTCAATTACAGCGGGGCGGCCCCTCCCGCCCCCCGCCCCCGCCTCAGCCCCGACCCTCCGCCGCCGGCGGGCGAGACTCGCCCTCAGGGCATTCGGTTCCTCCCAGGCGGGCTCGGCGCCGTCGGCGCGGCCCATCCCCTCCTCCCATCCCATCCCATCCCATCCCGGTCCCCTCGCAGCCCTTCCCGTCCATCCCTTTCTCCGGGGTTTTTACCTGGCGGCTCCGGCGCTTTGTCCCCGCACGGCGCCCCCCGGCTCAGCCCCCGCTGTCCCCGCCCCGCCGCCAGGCGGCGCCGCCGCCGCCGCCGGCCGCCATTACCCGCCGGGGCTCAATGGCCGCGCCGGGCGCCGCCTCCTTCCCCGCCTTTCCCGCCCTCTGCGTGAGGGGAAGGCGGCGCCGTGAGGGGATGAGCGAGAGACCTCCCCCGTCATGTTTAAAAGGATGACTGTTTGGTTGTTTTTGGTTTTTTTTTAAATAATAATTAAAATAAATCCAACTTTTAACTCGTGCTCTCACGGGGGGGGGGGGGCTTGGGGCGGGCGACAGCGCCATGAGGGGATGAGGGCTCCGCTCCCTCCATGGCGTGACCGACATCCCCCGGTGCCGTGCCGTGTTTAAAACGATGAATGCTTAAAAAAAAAAAATAATTAAAATAAATCCAGCTCTTAACTCGTGCTTTCTCCCTGTGGGAAGTGTAATTGCCCATAAGTGGTGGGCTGTGATTTTAAATCCTGGAAATAGCTGCTTGGTTCCCTCTGGTGTTTTCCCCTCTCCGAAGAAATGGGAGCGCAGATTTGCTTACCCATCTCTCTGGACGTGGCTCGGGGAGGAGGAAGAGGGGCTTTACAGAATAAGTAACATGAATAAATAGCAGAATAAATAACCATTAGAGAATAAATGACGTTTACAGAATAAACAATCCCCACAGGGGGATGTTCCCCCTCACCATCGTACCCGGGCAGGGCTGTGGAGCTGAGCAACCTCCCCCCTCAGCTCCTTCACCCCTTTAATTCGGGAAACCTGAGACGATTCCCTGCGAAGGGAAAATAGCTTTGCGAGCATAAAAAAAGTCCTCAGAAGATTATGTGTGGAAAAATGTTCGCTGCAATGCGTTCATCACATGGGGCTGCCCTGGTTCTCCCTCAGGATGGGAACGTGGGATCATCCTGCCCCTTGCTCAGCCTCAGCCCCGCTACATCTTAGGATCACCCCCCAAAATGAAACCCAAGACATTCTAATGATTGCAGCAGGCCATAGGTTATTTATTCGGAGTTTGGGATTTTTCCAGAGCGTGAAAATGATAATCAGAAATTGAAGCGTCAAACTGCTCAGGAAGGAGTATTAAATCTGTAAATCCTCAGCCTAACGCGTCCTTCTGGCCAACTTACTCCAAACTGAGGATGTCCAGCAGCTTAAAACAGCTTTTCGTGCAGCCCATCAGTTTAATTTATATAAATACTCCTGTAACATTATCTTTATTAATTCCAGAAAGAAGTTTTGTCTGTTTCTAAACAGGGAGAGGGCACTACCCAGTCCTCACCACCCGAGAAGCAAAACATTTCCAAATGCTTTCCAAAAGTTGTACAAACCAGAACTCATTGCAGGAATTTTCCCTGGCAGCAGAATCTGCAATTATGTCCTTGTCTGAGGAGAAATTCAGATGAGGTTTTAGATGAAAAAAATCCCCTGCTGAGAATAGAGTAGCAATGCTGAAATCAGAGGATATTTTAGAAGTTGGGAATGCAGCAAAAGTGGGGTTTTTTTCAGATGTAATTTATCTGTAGTTTAATGGTTGCTGCCACCACAGTATTTGAGCATCTCATGAAGTCTTAACAGCTAGATTCTGTCCTTATTAGGGCTGATACCACATGATTGTGCAAGTGGTCCCTAAGGAATCCTGTCACTGGAGTTGTCACAGAGGTTTGCTGGTCCTTGGGGATACTTGCATGGTAAGCTATCAAAAAATGTGAAAAAAAAAAAAGTGTAGCACAGTCTGGTCCTAAATTATTTAGCTGTGAAATGCTCTTATAAAGCAGAAGGGTGTTATTTACCTCACTTTTACATGGTAACTGAGAAACAAAACTACTGAGAAGTTGAGTTATAGTAGGTCTGCAGGAATTCCTTGCTAGAATCAAAATTTGACAGCACGTCTCCTTGATTTCCTTAATCGTCAAATAAATTATTAATTCCCTTTTACCTCCACTTTTTTTGCTTTTCTGTCCTCAGAATGTGAACTTGCTAGAGGCAGATGAACAAATAAATAAGTAAAAAGTCTCAAAAAAAGACATGGAAATGAACTACTTGCTCTTGATGAAAGTAGCAAACACTGTGAGCAATAAAAAAAAAGTTAATTTCAAGCCCTGATTATTTTAATAAAGAAGCAAATTGGAAAGAAGTTCTGATCCCTTGAGAGATAAGCTCTTAAGATCATGTCTAGGACTAGAGCTGATAAATATGCAGCTTGATGAAGAAAGAGATACCCAAAAGAAAGGGTTTCTGAAGCACATTCTGAGGCCAGTCCTTTGAAACATGAAACACTGAGTTACAAATGAAGATTTTTTTCCTCGTGTTCCTCTCTGGGAGCTGCTGCAGATGCTGCTCTGGTCACATCCTGTGCCCATTGAAACCAGTGACAAAGTCCCCATTGATGGCAGTGACTCTGGCTGTAGCCTGTGTGAGGGGGATTATGCTCGGTGTAGTTATGAATAATTACTTCTGTGTAATTCTAGTTTTTGATAAGCCATCAATTTGCGAAATGCCCCCTTTTATAGGCTTGAATTTTCACGGTCACGTTCCAGTCCTGTGGACAACTTTTGCAGGCACCAAGATCCGCAGATCCAGCTTATCCTACCTCCAATCCACTTTAGAGATTTCTTAGTGATACAATTTATGCCTAAAAATCCACATCGACAACTCTTGGTTCCAGCTTCTCGGCTGGAAGCTGCATTCTTTCCTGAGGCAGAGCCTGTTTGGCTGCAGGAGATTGAAAATTAGGAGGGTACAAAGCCACTGTGGAGCAGCTACGGAGCCTACGGGCACTTTGGGGTAAAACTGCTTGAATTGGGACACAGACTGTATTTTCCAAAGTGCCTTTGATTGCCTTAGTAATTATTAGTCTACATGTGGCCGTGGAAGCTTGAACTGAGAAGCTTTTGTTTAGGTATTTATAGAGGCTTTTCCTTATCTTTTTTTGCAAATTCCATACATGGAACCTGAGTCTGAAAAGGGAAACAAGGTGGTTTTTTTTCTAAGCAACAAGTTGTTGGTAGAGGACCTAGTGCCTGAAAAACCTCTGCTCTGCTGAGTATTTTCCTGCCTTATTTGTTGCATAAGGAGGAGAAGGAATTTCCAACGAAGCTTTTCATTATCTGGGGCGTTTTGGTTGAGGGGGGTGGTGCTGAAAATAGTTCTGTGAGACAAATTCACGGCTGCTTGTTCCCAATCTCGCTGTAACTGCTCTGCAGATTCTGTTTGGAAATGGATGTGAAGTGTTGACACCAGGAGAAGAACTGAGTCAGAGCCGTTCCCAGAGGTCACTGAAGTCTTGAGCACTGAGAGATGCTCAAACGTTTACAGAATTCTACAGTTCTGTGGAAAAATTCTACCAGCCTATGGCAAATTCTACAGTTAAATTTAAAAACTTGTGTTACTGAAGAACAGATGAGCACCTGAAGTGCTTCCTTCAATCAGTCAACCACACAAAACCACTCCTTTGATATTTTTTATAATTATTGCAGACCAGAAGAACTGAAAAATGGTTTTAAATATGCAAAGCCTCGTTGCTGAGCAAACAAGAAGCTAGAAGTGAAAAGCCGACGGGCAGTTTGTCTGTTAAGGAAACTGAAACAGCGAAAAGGTGCTTCATTAAAAAATCCCCAGATCAGCATTTGAGTGCAGACTTTAGATGTTAAAGGGAAGGAAATGGTGTGTCTAAAGCAAAACTTCTATCCTAGGACTTGCTTTTGCTGAAAAGGAGCATGGATGTGGTTACAGGGGTATCTGTAACCTCAGATATCCAAATGCTCCCTGCAGTTCTCTACACTCAGGCTTCCCTTTCCCCCGGGATTTCCTGTGAACCCAGTTAATACCTGAACCACTAACACGCTTCCTAGAGGATTACTGAGCTTCCCCCCATCCTGCCCTAAAGCTTTAGGAGCGTTTCCATCCCTGGTGTGAGTAGGTGGCCCCATCTGCTATCCAGGCAGTAACCAGAACTGGTTAATGACTGCCCCAGCAGAATAGAGATATCAGCAACTCATTAATCCATTATGTGGGAATTGCTTAATGGGGCAGGGAATATTCCTGTACTTCTGGCTTCTTCACATCCTGAAACCCCCATTTCATCTAAACTGGTGTCTGGGGTTTTAAATGGACACGATGCCTGCAGGTTGTTACCTGCAGCTTGCTGAGACTAGAAACGAAACCAGCCAGGTGCTGAGGGGCAGGTGAGTTTGGGAGCCCTGAGGTTTCATCCTCCAGCTGCCTGTGCTCTCCCTGGATGAACACGGAGCTTCGGTCTCCTTGGCTCTTGAATCTCAACAGTGCCAAAATCTCACCCAGAAAACAAGCAAAAAGCAAATGCTGTCAAGAAACCTGAATATGAGTGAGATCAGGGGCTGGAACAGCATTTAATGTGGTTTCTGTGTAATTCTCTGAGCTGCTACAGGATGATCCCTACCTCTAAACCTTCCTGTCTACCTCGCTGCTTATTTCATTAGTAACTGAGTTCTCCCCAAAAAATTAAAAAAAAAAAAGCATTTTGCTCTTCTAATGTGTGTAGATAAAGAGCTTGAGGATTTTACATTTCCTTAACCAATAAATGTCTGATGTGTGGGTTGGTGTCTTGTGAGTGTCTTAAGTCACATTTGGCCTGATCCAAACCTCAAAGCAATTGGTTATTTTTTTCATTTACTTCAAGGGGTTATAACTCAGGGATATGGAAAAAAAAAAACACCAACCCTGATGTCTTGTTAGTAATCAAAACTATTCTTTAAGCAAAGGAAGAAGTTCTGCTACCTCATATCAGACATGATTTACCCATGCAATAATACTCGAACTGGGTCAAAACCAAGAGATTTGTTTATACAACATATAATTAACCAGTGAAACTTGGTGCTGCAGGAAATCGTGGAAGCTAATGATACAATGTCTGGGTTTGCATGTGGAGTCTTGTGTGGAAGCCAGTAAGTGGGACAAGCTACAGAACAGCAACACAAGGGAGTTTTTACCCTTTCCAATAAAA